TAACATAAATAGTGAAAAGTGGGTGTTATTTCGCACCTCTGTCTACCCCTTCGGGGATAAAAGGCGTGATGTTATGTAATGTTATGTAATATTACACAGTTACTATAATATACGTAATAATAATATGATATGATAAAATATAATAGCAAAAACTTATTCTAAAAATAGATACAGTATAAAAATAATAATTATAACCATGAACGTCCCTGACATTGCTATTTAAAATGATAAACAAATCATAAAAGTGTCCGATGCAGAACAAGTTTGTGTTATATAATAACACAACATAACAGATTTGCGTAAACGGAGGTCAATGTTACGAACATTAGCATACGAGTATAGGAATCGAATAATTACTCGAATCGATTTTATTTTTTGACAAATCGATTCTTGTGTATTTTTTATGTAATTGTGTGAAGGTCTGTGTTAAGGTCATCTATTAGTAGGATTTTTGTAAGTTAAGACGATTTGTTTTTTTTAAACATGGTACTTAAGTATTGACATTTTTTTAAAGATTACTATGTTTATGTTAAATTTATGAATAAATGAAGGTAAAAGCATTAGTTGTCTTGTTTGTCTTCTGATTTAGAATTACTCGTAATACATTGTTGTGTAGTTGTGTAATTTAGCTTAAAAATCTAAATGTTTAGGTGTCAATGAATGAATTACAATGTCAGGTTACAATTACAATTCCCGAAGGGGTAGGTAGAGGTGCACACAGAAGTAACACCACTTTTCACTATTTATGTTATGAGTCCCATGTACTAGGGGGTGAACCTATCGCCATATACCGTACACATTTCCAGACTCCGTGCTACTACTGAGATATTTTATTAAAATATAATAGTTTGCCCGACCCGAAAATCGAACCTGAGACCCCTTGTCTGGTAGTCGCACTTGCGACCACTCGGCCAACGAGGCAGTCAATATTATAATAAATAATGAAAAATAATAAATGTGTAATATTAAAGTGATAATGAATACCTTTTAGATATGTAATCTACATCAAAACATTTTAGAAAAGGCCCGAACATAAAAATGTGTGTTATTTTTTGAGGTAATGCTCATTTTCTACTAAACAATTTTCTCTTTCTAGTTTACAAACATGTTCACAACACACCCAAATCCGGTACATATAAAAGTAAAAATACTTATAAAGTACAAATATTGGTTCCTTGTGAGAACGAAACTACAATACATTAGTAGGTACGTAGTATCGACTAACTATGTCAAAACTATGGAAACTATCGTCTTTTTCTTCTCCGCTAAAAATGTCTTCTGATTTATTTCGTTGTGGGATCGAAGACTGTCTTGATATGACTATATCTCTGGGACGCGCCTAACTTTAGTTTTTAGTGTTTTGGTGTTATTATGGTAGTATATAGGGTAGATCCTAGATTACAGGAATTGCACCGGTGCGGGGAGGTGTAGCAGGCTTGTCCCATAAAAAAAAACTATGCCACAGTGCAAATGTGCCACTTAACTATAAACTCACGTGAACATAATTACAAAAGCTCTACTAGTTTCGAACCACAGAGGGGATCTCCCTCATGAGCAGCGTGCGCGGTCGCAGCGATGTCGCGCAGCTTACTTGAGTAACCCGCGATTTTGAGTTAATTTAGAATATCTCACGATAGTTATTATACAGTCATAACTATAATTATGTTTATTAATTAAGACACAAATATTATAATTCAACTTTCTAAATATTAATCCATTAGTAGTTTGATGTCCTACAATACTGGCCATATGAATTTGTTTAAAACTCAGACTTGATTATTTGGTTAGAGAAAAAGCATATATACGGTCGAATTGAGAACCTCCTCCTTTTTTTGAAGTCGGTTAAAAAGATGGAGGAATCGATATAAAAAAGATATACTATAAAGATCTAAGTATACAACCTTGATATTAATTTAGAAAGGTAAAAGTGAAGAAGAAAATTTTTCAATTAATTTTAGATTAATGATAAGTGCAACTTACAAGTAAACGTGTGATCACATTGACAGGTGTAAATAAATCTTATACATTTGGCTTCCGTAGTTAATATTGTTATTAATGATTATAGTAATCTTTTTTGACTGTGTATTAATTTGAGTCTACATACGTCTATATTTCACTTTTATTTTAAGTTTGGGAGAGCCATGCTTCGGCACGAATGGGCCGGCTCGACCGGAGTGATACCACGGCCTCACAGAAAACCGACGTGAAGCAACGCTTGCTATGTGTTTCGTCGTGTGAGTGAGGTTACCGGAGGCCCAATTACCCTCCCCTTCCTCAATCTTCCCAATTCCTGAATCCCCAACGATCCTCAAACTCCTAATCCCCAAAAGGCCAGTAACGCACTTGTAATGCCTTTGGTGCTCCAGGTGTCCATGGGCGACGCCGATTGCTTACCATCAGGTGATCAGTCTGCTCGTGTACCGGCTTATGCCATAAAAAACATAAAAGTCAAAGGTTGAAAATTTTGATTTACTTAATATTTTTGCAATCAGAATAAAAGTGGTTGGTGTATAAATATTGAGTTACCATGTAAAATAAAATACATTTATAATACATTTTTCTTTTTATCAGATGACTCTGTTGAAGCACAAGATCCTCTTTATAATAACTGAAGACAAGTGTTCAATTGCATTGTTCAATGTCATTAAAAAGATAATTTATCTAGCGCCTCTGGCGACATTAAAACCCCATTATTTTAATAAGGACAAGATGCAACTAATTTTGTTTATAAGTTCTCTAGGAATATCTGTGTTATTTCATCTAACTAATATCGCTAAGTCACCTGCCAAACTTAAGTATTTTAGTATTTTAGGAAAACTCCCTCTGAATTGGGAATGTCTTCCTCCATCTCTCTATTTTAGCTGTGGACTTATACTCGATAATGCCATAAGAAACTTCATTCTAAAACACGGAGTTTTTAGTTTTGCTATACAGAAATTAATTTGAGGAAGCCACAGAGGTATGTAAGAATCGTAGTATGATCATAAGAAACAGGCGTGAGGTTATGTATGTATGTAAATTAATATAACTTAACATAACATCACGCCTTTTATCTCCGAAGGGGTGCAGAAGCGCACATTACGGCACTAAATGCCACTGTACAATGTGACACCCACTTTTCACTTATATTAGGAGTCCCGTTTAATAGAGGGTGAGCCTATTGGCATATACCGGACACTATTCCAGACTCCGTTAAAAAAATTTCAGTAGTAGCACGGAGTCTGGAATTGTAAATTAATATCTTCCAGCTATATGCTCTTAAAATGAACTTGTTACCCTACAAAACGACTTACTCACTTACGTTACCTATTCTCAACCTTTTCCTTATAACTAAATAAATAGCATAACATAATATAACATTACATCACGCCTTTTATCCTCGAAGGGGTAGACAGAGGTGCACATTATACCACTGTATAATGTAACACCCACTTTTCACTATTTATGTTATGAGTCCCATGTAATAGGGGGTGAGCCTATTGCCATATACCGGGCACAGTTCCAGACTCCATGCTACTACTGAGCACATAGCTAAATAAATAGCGAACTGTGCAATTTCACTTTTGTATACAAACAAAATATTCGAAAGTCATGTGTCGAGAAGTCGGTACCGTTGGATCTTGGCGTCTCTATGCGTAGACTTATTAATAGTTAGAATGGACTTAGGAGCTTGTTAGAAAAATGAGTGTATATAAATTTTATTCGTGAGTATGTTTAATAATTTTATGTTCATTGGAAACCAGGTAACACAATGGTTCGGATTGAATCTATAGATCTATTTCAACATCTTACTTAAGATCCTAAGTAAAAGCATATTGTGTGGTTTAAAAAGTTTTAAAAAATATTAATTTTTGCTTTGTAAATGTAAATTACCAAGCACCCAGGCTGAAGCCAATAAAATGTAAAGACCACATCTAGTAATACTACATTAATATAAGAAGTATCGTAGTATTTTAACCGCATTAGTTACGCAGTAGGCAATGTTCTTGATGTTAATAATAGCACATAAAAAGAGAAGTAAACTACATTTTAAAATTTGAATTTTAGAATGTAACTTAACGTATTTTAAATTGCTGACCCAGCATTAAATAGAAGAGCGCAGTTACATAACTAACAACGTAACAATTTGACATCATCTAAATCGCTTATCTAAGAAAAAGTATGACGAATGTAGATTAAAAGAGATAAAAATATAATAACATATCGTCATTATATACGAATTAGCAGTCGCCATTCCGGAACTGCACATACGCTCATTATTATGATAATTCATCAAAAATTAAGTGTGTGCAATTAATATTAAAAATGTACAGTCTATTTTATTAGTGGGCTGTGGGTTAATGATGACTGTTGTACTTTCTACGCCTTAAGATGCGTGGAGAACCTCGTTAGCCGTTGATACTTTTAACCGAAGTGTGTATACGTAGAAAGTTATTGATTTTTGCATAACTAGTGACGTTTTTTGCGTATAATGCTGATGTGCGAATTAGCGATAAAGTGGCGCAGATTGACAAATGTTTGCGACTTTAATTGGCTTACATAGAGATGTAGAAAGGGGCGTGTTATGTCTTACTTTACGTAGGAATGTTACGGCAGTAAAATAATGGTGTTAGGTGGAGCTTTGTAGTTTTTACCTACCTAAATGAAAGCTTGAGTGACAGCTGGTGGCTATTACATTCATGCATACATTCTTTGTTCTTTTAACATTCTCATTCTATATCTCAAAGAAACCTAAGTCGCAGATATCTAATCTCTCTGGTCTGACACCTAAACGCTTCAGCTTAGACAAAGATATCTAGTTTCTTTTGGCTTGATACCTAAATGTCTTACTGCCAACTTTCTAACTAACAGTGTAACTTTTTAAATTGATCAGTCAATTACAAGTAACTCACATTTACTGTCACTTACTCACACTCATATATCTCATTTCTTCATTGTGTGAACTGAACTTGTAGAAAAAGAGCAATAATTATAATAATGAAAGGGTTTATTGTACTCACCCGTCTCGCTTTCTCACTGTCGCTGTAGTCCACCGGCTGACATGACAGACTGTAGTCTCCCCACCAGCCTGACATCAGGTGCTAGAAAAAAGATTATCTTATTAGTAATTAATAAAGTTTACTATATTTAATGGTAATGACGAGTAACAGTAAATAAATATTGTATAGGTACATTGCTACAGTGTTATTTGGGTAAGGGTATATTTATTTTATTTATAGTGGCATAGCTTGGGAAGAACTGTATGTAATTAGATTCTTTGAGTATTATGAAGTTTTTGTGAATTAAAAAAATATAATTGGGAAGACAAATAGTCTAGTCGTAACCCTAAATAAAGTCGCAGAGATCCTAACGGGTAACCGGGGCTCCGGCTCGACGTGCAGGAGAAGGAACGGTGTGGTTTTTAGTCAGTAAGAGTCTGACACTCCCTCCTGCCTCACCCAGGCGGGAGCAGACATTCGATGATTTTCCCCCCTTAAAAAACCCTAAATAAAGGAAAGTAACTTGACGAAACTTAAACTTCCCAAACAAGCAACAACTAAGCATTTTATAGAGGTATACAAACTTAAACAGTCTACGAACTACAAAGCAAATGAACTCAATTAAAATAACAAAACACCAATCATGATTTAAGATAATAATGAAATGTACAATGTAATACAAATTGTATAATTTATACATAACTCATGTATATGTATTACATATAATTATTCAATAAAACAATTTTATAGATATATAGCGTGCAATAATCTTCACTAGACCTAGATATATTCAGTATAACCCTAGACTTTTAACGATCCGTAACACAATCAATTTTATATATAGTAATTATTCGGTAACATTTATTTCTTATTATGTTATATTGTATATGAATAGTGCCTTGACCGACATGCCAAGAATTTGCACTATCTATTCATACCGTCTAAGATTGCGTAAATGTTGTAATGAGTATAAAATTTTATAAGATATTGGTCTTGTGTTAATGACTTTAATGTTGATGGCTGATTGACAGGTCATTTAAAGGTATTTTATCTGGCATAAGACATGGTAGTTTTAAGACGCCCGCTTCTCGTGCATGAGGCTGGAGTTCGAAACCTACCAACAGCAAATACGAAAGTGAATTATTATACAGAGTTTATTCTTGTTAATACTAATTTAATCTTGGTTTTGTTCTTAAGCTAATAGTTTTAGATTTTATTCAAGAAAAATGATTGGAGATTAAAAAGGCAATATACGTTTTTATTTCGTGTTTATTTTAAGGGATGATTTTATATGAAATTATATTTCAACATTAATTAATCTTTATGTATTATTTTCAGATACGAAACTGACGTTAACAGTGATATTCGTAATTAATAAAACGAGCATACTTATTTCTGTATATTAGCTTCTAAATATTTTAAGCGTATTCATATTATTAACTCCTAGTTACGATACGCTAACTCGAGCTATATAAAAAGTCTCTTTCTTCACCAACATCTTAAACATAGACTATTTCACACTGAAAAAAGAAAGAATAGACAATTTCTCGATCACCCGATCGCAATTGCCTTGACCTTATTTTATTGTCTAGATGTAATGACACCGTCAGACAGTTGCGATAGTCTGTCTTTTTGTTCAATGGACCGTGGTCCTCTTATATTGTCATAATATAATAGTACTAATGAAATAAGTGAATGATTTATAACTTTTATCTCAAAGTTGTTTTTTTTTATTTAATTGCTTTATTGGATTTTTGCTATAGATAATCTTCTGCTGTAGCAATGTAAGAAACCAGTTTTTTACTTCCTAAAGGCAAAGATGCCCATTACAATACAATAATGATAAAATTACTCTTTATATATGCATACTTTTGAATTCTTGCAGAATAAATATTGAAATGAACGAACTCGACTGAAATGTTTTAATTTATTTGTTTTGTTCTATAATTTCAACCACAGCACGTGCCAAGAGTAGTCCATGAACCAACTACTGAGTGATTCACGCCATTTTTTTCTAAATTTCGATTATTATCTAACAGTAGAAAAGAGCCTTACTACTTCAGTTTTCTTTTCTGTACAATCGAAGTGTCATTTAACACCGTTACTTTGCAAAATCTATGAATGTACCATCCATATGCTACACAGACTAAATTCTAACGAATGTCCAGTGTACACTGACCTCTCTCAACGTAGACTTTTCGTGGTATGATGGGTCTCATTTATCGTGAAGTTACTTTCTCCATGTCCGCCCATGTTTTATGATAATTCTATACGTAATCAACGTCAGAATTAACAATGGAATTCCTATAAGATTGTAGTTCCGTTTGTTGCGATTGCTGTGTAGATTTTGTCCATGTATTTGGTTGTCTCTCTCGAGAACTCGACAACCTCTAGTCCTAATTGTGTTCAATTGTCTTTTAAGATATTGAAATAGATTTCAGTTATTTTTAAATACATAATTATATGTTTTCTTGGTTATGTTTGAGCCATTTTGATTTTCTTCTCACTCTAATTTATTGTTTCTTATTATTTTTATTATTCATAAAAAATGTTCCATTGGGTTCACAAATGAGTGGTTTCTATTGTAACATTTTTGCGGAAATCTAAACAATAGAGTTCCCTAGTTCCCTAATACTTTAAAATCTATAAAGGTGTTCATTTGTTTTCAGTTGTATTTTAATTTTCAATATCGACTTATATCTGTATATCATACGTCTTAAAATTGCATGGGCATCGTCGCCATAGATCCATGAAATTGGCTAAGCACCTTGACATGTTAACCCATGTGATTTTTATACGATTGTGTCAAACAATCGATTACTTGATTATATAGCGCTTTGTTTGTATAAAGGTCTTTGAGTATTAATAAGACAAGCGTTAATGCAGTTCTTGCATTGCATTCTGCTACTTATACTATACATTAAATATTTTGTGACTTTATCGTAGTAACCATTCACAAAGATAAGGCTGTTGCCTTATCTTTGAAGTATGAATTAGTTTTTTTCTTTTTGTCTTTCATACGAATATTACATTTACAATTTTATTGTGTTAAAAGTAGGCTCAGAATTATATAACAGCGATGGAATTCAGCATAGCAAATAAAATCATTTTATTCAACTCATAGCAACGAATTCAGATCAATACAAACTTACGTCAGTTAGGCCGGGCATGAGTTTTATTTTTAACCATGAATAAAAAGTTAAGTAATTATTTTTTAATGATAACAAAAATATAATGGCGGCATATAATGATAACTCACGAATTACATAATGTTACGAAACCCTTTCACTTTTACATGTACAGTTAAATAAATAAAAGATTACAAGTGGCAGTTCCGTTTTTCTTTAGTGATACATGCCTATCGCCTATTGAACATCGTATGACGTTTTAGAATAACAAAAAGATAAATACTTTCAAATTCGTAGAGCCGAATTAACTATAAATAACGTAATAAGTTAGTTGTTTTGGTTTTACTTGAAACCACGGACTTAGTTTAATTTGTTAGTTCATGGTAGGAATTAATGTAATATTTAAATATGAATAAAATGATGATTAATCAGTAGCAGCGCGGTAGTCGCTGCGTCGCGAGTCGCGGAATGCTGCTCATGTATATGAGCCTCTAGCATGGCTTGAAACTCGTCGAGTTCCTCGTCAAATAGTTACGTGAGTAAGTCGAAAAACATTATAATTAATGAATTATACATTAAATCAATCACGCATGTTATTCTTTGACTGTAACAGAAAGCAGGCGTATTACTCTCCTGCAGATGGTATTTTCAGATTTACTTTCGTGATCGTCTCTTCTTCTTCATCTTATCAGGACCCTAATACCAATTTCGAAATAAAAATTTTAATCTCAAAGTTAAATCACATTTCTTATTCTAACACTCACTTCATCACGCCTTTTATCCCCGAAGAGGTAGGCAGCGGTGCACATTATTCCACTATACAAAGTAACACCCACCTTTCACTATTTGTGCCTATTCCCAAATACCGTGCTTAATTCCAGACTCCATGATACTACTGAGAATTAAAAACCCGGTAATATTTTGCCCAACCCGGGAATCGAACCCGAGACCCCTTGCTCGGCAGTCGCACTTGCGAGCACTCGGCCAACGAGGCAGTCTTATTCTACTATTCAAATTTATTTCCAACGACACGGTTTGTAGTTACTATAATACTGCTACTGTAAATCGAAATCAGCCTTGCGCTCTACGTCTTCTTAATACTTTATAAGCAAAACTTCTTACCCGAACACAAACAATTACATAGACTGTACAAGCTTGGACAAATTACTGACAGTAAAGATAATGTGTGTATTTTTAATTGAGCGATTAACGATCATGAAATGTGCATGTTAATTTAATTTATTGGTTTGTTATGTGTGTAACTTAATTATTATAGTCTCACATATATTTGCAATTTATAAGGTAACTGAAGATTTTTAACAAGCCGTAGATATAATGAATTATAGTATAATACAATTGATTTCATACCTTTTTTTCTTAACTCGTGCTAAGTTAATTATTTATGACACACTTTTATGGATTTATTTACAAGTACCTAGATCATAAGATAGACAGAGTGGAAACGCCTCTTTTTCATTTGTCTAGTTTTGATGTTCTCTTGTTTCATTCCTAAGCTAGGAAACATTTAGCTGGACTTGCAAAGATTTAGCTCGCTCTTTTTTTTCGGCATAAGCCGGTAAACGAGCAGACAGACCATCAGGTAAGCAATTGGCGTCGCTCATGGACACCTGTAACACCAGAGGCGTTACAAGTGCGTCACCGGCTTTTTGGGGATTAGGAGTTTGAGGATCGTTGGGGATTCAGGGGAAGGTAATTGGGCCTCCGGTAACCTCACTCACACGACGAAACACAACGCAAGCGTTGCTTCACGTCGGTTTTCTGTGAGGCCGTGGTATCACTCCGGTCGAGCCGGCCGATTTGTGCCTAAACATGGCTCTCCCACACTTAAAATCTTCAAATTATAAGAAGAGAGCGTAGCATAACTGATAAAACTAAGTCTTGCAAATAATATTAACATTTCTGTATCTTCAAAGGTTAATTTTATTGTGCTAATAATAAAGTTGTATTAATAACTAGAAAAGAAGTTAACCACTACTCACCTCGTAAAACATATAGGAGGACAGCAGAACTTGTAGAGCGTTGTATGCAACTAACGTGTTCTGTATTTGGAAGGGTTTTCGATTAGCCATCCATAGTGGACCAGCCACCATCACAAATGCCAGGTACACGCACACCATCGCCACCGTCGGCAGCGGAGTGTCGAACAGAAACCATCCTTGAACACGAGGATCTGAAAAATTAATTAAAATGTTAGTTGACATGTTATTTGAGCTGAATTATTACTTAGAAGACTGCAATGCTTATGTCCAAATACTCAAACGCTACTTAAATTCATGTCACGCTTAAGCATTAAGTTATTAAGTATAAATTCTTTGTAAAATAGCAGAGATAGCACGATATTTAAGTACAACTTAAAATTCTTTTTTTATGGCATAAGCCGGTAAACGAGCAGACGGATCACCTGATGGTAAGCAATTGGCGTCGCCCATGGACATCTAGAACACCAGAGGCGTTAAAAGTGCGTTACCGCCTTTTTGGGGATTAAGAGTTTGAGGATCATTGGTGATTTAGGGATTGGGGAGATTGGGGAAAGGGAGGGTAATTGAGCCTCCGGTAACCTCACTCACACGACGAAACACAACGCAAGCGTTGCTTCACGTTGGTTTTCTGTGAGGCCGTGGTATCACTTCGGTCGAGCCGGCCCATTCGTGCCGAAGCATGGCTTTCCCATACTTAAGAGCCTTTCAGTGTTCGGATGTTAGAGATTTATTGAACGTTGTTCTCAATAATAAAATTAACGAAGATACCGTTTACTCGTATCAATATAAAATATTTTTGTTGTCATTATAAAGAAAATTATACCCAAAGGTTGTTTACCTGATGCATGTTTTTATTTTACAGAGGTCTATCAACATTAAACATTATATCGGTTCAAATTAAAGGTGGATTATGTGTATGTTTTACAAAAAATCCTATGATACGGTTCTATATCTATCTATATAAATGAAAATGAATTTCCGTTGGTTAGTCTCGCTGAAACTGGAGAATGGTTGAAGCGATTTGGCTAATTTTAGTCTTGAAATGGTCGTTGAAGTATAAAGGTAAGAAAATAATTTTAAAAGGTAAGAAAATAATTTTTTGGGCTTTATAAACTAAGCCAGATCAACTAGTTAGCAATAATTTTATGGCTATATAAAAAAAGTCAATGTTTAATTATAATATCTAGATTCTAAAAAAAAAGAAAGAAACTGTATATAAAAAGAAAATGTATATATAAAGAAACTGTATATCTAATAAGAAAGAAACTGTATATAAAAAGTATCATTGCGTTCTAGTTCACGTTGTAAAAACGAATTCATTCATAAATCGATTTCCATTCATATCTCTAAACCGGTTCTGATTCCTTCACCTGCTGAGTGATCATTCATTTTATTTTTGACAGTTGACATTTTTGTTTTATTTGTAGATTCTATTGAAAAGTTGCGTATAAAATATATATTGCTTCTGTTACTAAAGCCCACTTTTGTCAAAAAATTTACTCTCACATACATATAGTAATTGCGCTTGTCTTTAATTGGGGTAGGCAGAGACAAGGGGAACCAACAATACAATTCTAGCATATTTACTCTCAAAAGTAGAATAATTATGAAAAATATTAACATTTTGTATTAAAAAAATATTTAATATTTTAACCAACTTCAAAAAAAGAGAGAGTTTGACCTGTATATATGTATGATGTATGTAGGTATGTGTATATGTATGTTTGTGCGCGGTTATTTTTCGACTACCTCAACCGATTTTGATGAGGTTTTCAGAAAAGTGTTGGTTACACTTAGAAGAAGGTTTTATTATATCATTTAACTGACTTCTAAGAAGAGGAGAAGAAGAGGAAATCGATTTTTTTAAAGGTACTTTATGATATAATAATTTGTATTATGTTTTATTGTGTAAATGTAAAATGGTCATTATAAATATGATATGAGAGGATGACTGTGATGTGTTGATATATTATTGTAATATTAATAGACTGTCTAAGGAATTTGACATCGACTTATTCTGCACCAGTGTAGCATCCTTGCGACATCAAATCTCACAAATCTTTTCCGATGGTTAACTTCTTTGTCTAATTATTCTTCTAGCAATTGATATTTGTTAGTAATTAATTGTCTTCTGTACTCTTTTTTATGCCTTTCTGTTTTTTCTTTTTATCTATATGTGGAGGCTTGTAATTAGCAATTTTCAATGTATTTTTATTTTCAATGTATTAGTCTGTAAGCCTTCTTAAAATAAATAAATAAATATTTAACCGTGGTATGCTGGAGTATAGATCTACTCGAGACTTGTGTCCTTTCTTATTTTGTCTCATATACGCGCAGACAAGAGGTTAACATATCATATATAAAATAAAATTGAAAATTTTTAAACTAAATATTTTTAACTACACTAATTATAGCACCTCAAAATTTTTGTATTTATATTAGAAACCGCATTATAATTATATTAATTAATTCAAAAATAGAAAGTCAGCTGTAGTGTGAATAACCAAGTAAAGTGGGAATGCAATTACAGTAAGTAATGATGTAGTGGTTAAAGTAATTACAACCATGTTATGCCATTCACAACTATAACTTAACTAAGTTAAAGTTGTAAATTGTGTAACATAATTGTAGTAAGTTTACTACATTTTAGCCCTTGAAGGAGAAAGTACATGCATTAACAGAAATGCACTGATTACTGAACAATGTCGGTTGACAGGATATTAAATAATTAAATGACAATTTTATATAGAAAAGAAACAAAATAATTGATGCCTGTTTCAGATTCATTATATTTGTTATTTAATATAAACGTTGGTTTATTTTTATCAGATTGTTTTATGACGTATATCCATGTGTATAATTTTATGAATACAATTTTAATGTTGTCGAGTTGGACAACGAATAAATAAATATTATTTACAATTGTCCAAGACTATTAAAGACATTTTAGAAAGAGTTTAGAACATAGATTGCTTGTTTTAAGAGGAAATAGGCTCAAATTATTTCGTATTTTTGTAGCGTCAAGATTATCTATAGAAAAGACATCAACGCGTTGGTCATTTTGCCCTCAAGTTAGTTTTTACTAGATTTTTATCGACAACATCGAATCATTGATACAATTTATTATTACTATTTAATTAATATGCGACTATATTAAAATGATTACATTCTGAACCTTATGGTTTTGTTAATTGCTTAAATTCCTGTCACCTTTTTTGTATCACAATGATTTAATTTAACGTTCTTTACAAGGCTCTAACAATTTTAAGTCACACTCAAATGAAGTGTAATTTGTTTAAAGATTTTTATTATTCTCAATAAAAATTACAAACATTCACTTACTAAAGAAACAGTAGATAAATAAAACAATAGTTACAAATTCGTCGTTACTATAATACACATCTAATGCATTCAAATTCTACTTGTTATTTGCAATATTAAATGAACTTAGATAGACTTACTGTTGAACGCATTGAACGAGTGTACATTTTATATTTGTGTGGATATTGTCATAAAGTTTTGCTCCTTCAAATGTTAACAGTATTTTACCGTAATTTGTTCTTACCCTCGGTATGACTCACACAGGTGGGAGAAGTCATTCGATGATGTTTCCCCCTTAAAAACAACCTCGATATGACTATACGATATGAAAATTAGCCCGTATTTGTAAATGTTAATAAACTGGTTTGAATTATTTTGTCAAGAACTTTACGGATGAAGATGCATGTATTAGAGACTTCTTTACAAAGATATTGTAAGGAGGATGGTTGACATTTCAGGTGATCGAGAGGCTGGCTCCCTTGGGCTAAGCTTAAGCATTGCCATTGAACATGGCAATGCTGCCAGTCTTTTGGGCACCCTACCTCACGGTAGCGATGAGGACATTTTTTTCATGGTGAATGTGAGGTAATTTTTTATTATTTTTAAGGCGTATATAATTTAGTTTTTAGTTATTTATATTTATGATGTTAATATTAGTTAATTTTAATTTGTATATATTTAAAGACAAATAACTGTTAGTTCATTAGTTTAGTTTCACTGTAAATTCTGCTCGTTGATGTTTGATGTGGATAATACAGAGACAGCCTTAACAAAATATACCTACATCCTTTCACTTCAACACAAAGATTATGCAAAATGTTCACTTTTTTCTGTAACGTTAGTTCCCGTAAATAAATGATGATAACGGCCATCATAATAATAACCATTGAACGTAACCTGTGGTCGTAATGCCGTGGTCACTGCGACCGTAGCTTACTGCGTGAAATCAGAATGTGAAAGTGGCGTATCATTGTTCCCCGATGCTCTTTAAGATGCATTGCTTTCTTTACATTGATTAAACTTAAACTGATTAAATTGAATAGTACAGATATTACAATTACATTAAAATTAATTACTGCCTGCCTCGTTGGCCGAGTGGTCGCAAGTGCGTCTGACGGGTAAGGGGTCTCGGGTTCGATTCTCAGATCGGGTAAAATATTACTGGGTTTAAAAAAAATCTCAGTAGTAGCGCGGAGTTTGGAAAATTGTCCGGTATATGGCGATAGGCCCCTATTACAATGGAATCATAACATAAATAGTGAAAAGTGGGTGTTACTTCTGTGTGCACCTCTGCCTACCCTTTCGGGGATAAAAGGCGTGATGTTATGTTATGTTTTGTAATTAATTGATATCGTCATCATCATCATATCAGCCACAGGACGTCCACTGCTGAGCAGGTCTCCCCCAATGACTTCCATATAGACCGGTATTATTATTTGACATATATATTTTTTTTGTTAAACAATTACATTAATATTAATTAATTTTCTCAACTCTTTGTGTGATCCGCAAATTGTTGTTCCTGTGTCCTGGTCTGTGTCATGTGTATGTAAACTTACCTCTATATGTTTGTAAACGCACTCACGACACGGGAAAATCCTAGTGTGGGGCAACGTTTTAAATAAAGAATAGATGTTTTTTTAGTTAATTTTGGCATGTAGTATTTGTTTTGATGGTTGTTTAATCTAATTTTTTATTATATTGTAAGTCATAAGTGGTTTCAAAAAGTAATATTGATAGGAAATGTAGAAAAAGATTTTGGACGTGGAATGGGCTCAATCTCAAATCTAATAAATGTTATTATCCATTTAAAAAAACCTAAACAAAGAGTACTCCTCAATAAATATGTCTTGGTCTACACCTTCACAGACGTAATTTTACACTTTTTAATTTCCGAGTAAAAAAAGAAAGCTTCGTCAGTATTGACACAAAAGATTTAATCAATTCCAAATTTAATGTATGGTATTTAGACGACGGAACTCTAGGAGGTGACGTTGACATTGTTTTAAAAGATTTGACTATATTGAAAGAAAAACTAAGTTCTATTGGCCTTGACCTAAATTTATCAAAATGTGAACTATACATTCCTGACTCTACAGACAGACTAACGACTCTAGCAAAATTTAATCAAATAGCTCCAAATATCAAAATTATTGATAAGTACTCACTTCACCTCCTAGGTTCACCAATATTCGATGAATGTTTTCCTAAATTCATCGAGGACAAGATACAAAATTTCAATCACATTTCGGATAGATTACACAAAATCAACACACATTCGGCTTTCACCCTAATTCGGTACTGTTGTTTTGGACCAAAATTTACTTATATTCTCCGCGCTTCACATCTATGGAAACATTCACACATTTTAGAAAACGTAGACAAAATTATCAGACACACATTGTCATCCATACTTAATGTGGCTTTGGATGACCGAGCTTGGCAACAAGCTACTCTTCCTATTCGCATGGGAGGGCTCGGCGTCCGCAAAATTTCAAGTATTAGTTTACCAGCTTTTCTGTCTTCGGTCCACAGTACCTCTGAATTGGTCAGGAAAATTCTTTCTTCGTCACTGACCAGTTTTGAGGTGCCGTGTTTGACTGATGCAGTGGAAGCGTGGAAAATGGCTTGCCCACTTACGGATTTACCTGTTCACCCATCTTCTCAGAGACAGTGGGACGTGCCGCTGTGCAGTGTTATTCGTGAGTCTTTAATCAACTCGTCTCCTAATACTGCAGAGCGAGCTCGCTTATTGGCTGTGAGAGAATGGGAATCAGGATTGTGGCTTCAGGCACTCCCGTCACCCTTCATAGGTACTATGTTGGATGACATAACGTTCCGCCTAGCTGTATGCCTACGTTTAGGTGCTCCTTGTGTTTCTCCGCATTATTGTCACTGTGGAGAAAGAGTCGATGGCTTGGGACACCATGGTCTTTCTTGTTGCAGAAGTGCAGGCCGCATAGCTCGCCATGCCAGCATCAACGACATCATTCGTCGTGCTCTTGCCTCAGCCGGTGTACCAGCCGTATTAGAACCTAATGGTTTGGTACGTGATGACGGCAAAAGACCAGATGGTATGTCGTTGCTGCCTTGGAAGATGGGTAGGCCTTTGGTGTGGGACGCGACGTGTGTAGACACCCTTGCGCCATCACATCTTTTAAGCACCGCTGCATGCGTTGGTGCAGCTGCTTCCGCGGCAGAGGCCCTCAAACGGCGTAAATATTCAAATCTAGTGGGTAACTACTGTTTTGAGCCGTTTGGGGTCGAAACACTTGGGCCATGGGGTCCCAGTGCACACTCTGTGTTTAAAGACATCGCCCGTAGGCTTATCGACTCTACACGTGACCAGAGGGCTGGCTTTTTCTTCGGACAGAAAATAAGCATTGCCATTCAACGTGGCAATGCTGCCAGTCTTCTGGGAACTTTCCCCTGTGATAGTGATGCGGACGAATACTTTGACGCCTAAATTAAGGGTATAATTTTAGTTGTTTTCTTTTACTTTCTTTTTATTTAATAGTTTAGTTGTAGTTAATTTTAAGTTGTAAATATTTATGTAGTTATATTTAATTAGATGTAAATTTTCTGAACGTTAAAAAAAAAAAAAAAAAAAAAAAAAAAAAAAAAAAAATCAAAACATATTTGTTGAACACGAGAATGTTTAAACACTTTATACGAACTTCAAACACTAATGTTTAACTTGTTCACGTATAAGTATAATAATAATTATTATTTTATTGATTTAGTCCTTGGCATCATTATCGAGTAACTATTGCGTAAACTTTGCACAATCACTCTTGAGGTTTCATTTTCACGTATTTTACTGTTTAGCGGCGGAAGGACGTTCTAATGTAACATGTTTAATGTACGTAAATCATAATAATATTAACTTTATAAAAATAAAGTCAGTAAAAATATTTATAATACTCACGTTGTTTTCTTGGGTGACGTAACCCAATTGGACTGTAATATGCACTATTAATAGAGTACAATAATTCTATATAAGACGCGAATACGAGCTTATTAAAAAGAGACGGACCTCTGAGTTTGTTTCGGCATTTGTTCTTAGAGAAGTCAGTTAGAAAATGTCGGCCTCATCGTTCGCTTAATGAAATTGACATGTAAAAGTGCTGCCTTGTAGCCTATATACAGAAATAAATTCACTCGTTTCACTATGATGAGTGAACAACCAAAACAAATTGTATCTAATGACATTGGCACTTTGAGATTAATAAAAACAAGCTCTAATTCCCGTTTTGGATTTTATAAAATACACGAGTGAGTTCTATTTTCTATCCTATTGTCTGTTTGAGATACATTTTTAGTGTGTTTGATATTTTTCATTTATTAAGATGACATACTGGTATAGACTATGGTTGTTACTTTTTACAAAAAAACTATTCTACTAGTTTATAGTTTGGAATTACACATGTTGACCTATTTTGTCTTGGTTGTATAATAGTATTCACCCGGTAAACGTGCAAACCCGCTAGAAGAAAACTATAGACTAGTATTTACACCAATAAAGTACAATACATATTTCATAGCACTTAGACAAAAAATAAACCCAGTTTTTTATATAACGCATTTTACACGCATCGTAAAAATTATGAACGAGTTTTTTACTAAGTTAGATAATGACATTGAACACTGAATTCTCTTTGCGTTTGACATTGACATGAAAACCTAGAATTTTTCATGTTGTTTACTTTTTTATTTAGACGATAAAGGACTTTGGTATTCGTTCCGTCTTGTATTTATTTAAATGTTTAGATAGTTGATAATGTGTACTTAGTTATTGCAATAATATTTATTTTTGTACTAAATAATTTAAACTATCACCACGAGTTCTCAAGAACTACAGTATTAGTAATTGGTGATGAACTTGAAAATTTTAATATGTGCTTGATTATTTGACTTTATTTCGCATCACGATGTAGTGATTTTCTTTTAGTCTGAAGATACTAGACCTGCAAACGACGAAAGCTACATTTTTATTCGATAATGCATACATGCAGGATACTAGCTAGCATTAAATGCTCAAGAACACTGGATTTATAAAATTTTAATCAACAGACACTTAAGAAACAGGTTTTAATTTAAACCTATTAATTACTATTTCACGTACATATTTTTACGGCACGACGACGAAACTACTCAAACATAATTTCTATCTTAAATTATATTTGAACCAAATCCCAAAAGAATCTTCGTTTTCGTTCAAATTCTTACGGTACCAGTTAAACTAGTAACTGGCCGGTTAACCGCTGGTTAGAGACCGTACTACGACTAACACACTTCGACTGGTCATTCCGGTTTCTTCGGAAGTCAGGTTGCATTTTCTTTCACTCTCAATTTGCATATATTATACTATTATTATTGTATTTTTAGTACAAAATCTGACGTTAAGACTTAGTTGTATTCAATTAAGATATTTTGAAGTTTGATTTATATATATATATATATATATATATATATGTACTGTAGATTAACTTTGGAAAGTGTTATGGTTTTATTCTTGGTGTTAGAGATGTCTATAAGTGTACCATTTTTTGATAATACCTATTTTATTAGTCTCACGATGTTATTCATTGTTTTTATATAACCATCTCTGATATAGTTCACCGAATTTTAAGCATTCTAGATTATTCTAGAAAGCTTAAAATTTGTAGTTGTCAAGAAAGTGTGCTAATTTCCGTAAATAAGAAAAAAAAATACTATACCTAGCAGAAGACAAAATTCCAACAAGAAATTATTTGATCAAAAACAGCATATAAGGCCATGTAGCTACAAACCTTTTATAGGCTGGTATAAAACAATGAAATCTAATAACTATAAAAGGCTCCAGAAGTACCTGTAATTGTTGTAGTGTTATATAATATGACAGGCTCAGTATTCGCGTGACGAAGTACAAATACTGTAGATAATGATTTTGCTTTAGACCTTGCGTAGTTACGATGGTACGTTATTTAGTATTCAAATGTCCCTTTGTTTGAGAAGAAATTTTTGTAATATTAATTTAATATTTACCATATTTTATTAAGTTGTATATTATTAATCTGTATATTGCATTACTATTTTTATTATTTACCAATTAAAGGATAATCTAAGAGAAATTAAATTTAAATTTTGAATTTTAATTTAGTAATATTTAGTTTTAATTTTCATACTAATTTAATCAAAATTAAGTACATGGATTTTTAGAATAAATGTTGTGTCTACCAAGCCGTGTATTAAATTAAAAAAAAACAAATTTTATCTCACCTGACACTCGTTCTGCCAGCATCCAATATTTATTAATGATTGTCGTCCAATTGCTGTCCGAATAGTAATCGTCTATGGCAATTTTCACAAAACCGGTCATGTTTGCTAATTATTTAGGCACTGAACTATTAATAGGAAATAATAATAATAATTATTATTATTGTCTCAGTCTCACTTCTCACTTGTCACTGCCACTTCACTTTTATGAAGTCTGTAACTGGTTGACTGTCCTGGTAACAATTTGCACCAAGCAAGCTGTCACCTGAAATTAAAAGAAAAAAGTTAACTATGAAAGTAAGTGAAAGCATACATTGTAATTATTATATTACTTTAAATTTAATTGCTTTTAGTTGTTGTTAGTGCATCTGGCAATTAAAATTTATTTTGTTTATTTAATATTAAACTTCTGGATTACAATTTTATTTTATATTCATTTATTTTATTTATTTTATTATTAAATTCGTCACAAATAAATTTTATTTTAAATAAAAATTTATAAATTTTATTTTAATAAACTATTTTAAATTATTTTACCGAAAATATTTCCTTCTCAGCATTATTCGTCAGTTGATTTATTAATGCCACAATACTAAACACGTGCGTATATCATCTCAATGGATGAAAGCGAAAACTTGACTGAAGTTTTGCGAAAGTGTGCGCGCGCCGATACCTCAGCTACAATTGAATAGCCCGCGCTTACTCCACCAATCACAAGCCTTCGTACTCCCACGAGTCCACAAGGACACAAGCGACATGACGCCATCGAAGAGTATTATACCTTTTGTCTGGTAGAAAAAGTTGTTTTTTGCTTACGTTCTAATCCGGTCATTTTTCTTGTTGAGTTCAAAGTGCATTTAGGTTTTGCAGGCACGTAGTTTCCTGTATTGGGCTATGATTATTTAGTTTTAGTGAATTAAGTTATTAATTTTGATTTGTTCTTCCTAAGTAACTTATGGATGATTTTAAAGAACAATTCTCGTTATTTCATAGGTATATTTAAATTTTAAAATTACGATGGATTACTAAATTTGTTTATCACAAATTTTCCAACAAAATAAAATATGTATATTGGAAATGCCTATATTTATATTCACCAAACCATGTGTATATAACACATGCAGCCTTCATAAAATACTAGGTTAATTAGACAAGATTTACGCGTAAAAACGTGAGAAATAATCGTAAAAACAAAGAACGAAAATATGCCCATGACACTCACTTGATGTTATTTGCGGCAAAAATTAATTATAGAAATATGTGTTATACGTGACATAGAATAAGATTGATTTTTCAAAAATATCAATGTTGACTTATGGGGACAGATACAAAAACAACAATTAACTTTTCGTAAATTTTAGTCGATGAATCTATCGCATTTCTTGATTAATAAATAGAAATGTATGAATTCTAATTATACATTGTATTTAAATCTGTCAATTTGACTTATTTTTCATTTCAAGCAGGGAACTATAACTTCAGCCGTTTGTTTATTTATTAACCCGTTGAAAATTATTGAATATCATCCGCTAAATTTGCTCATACAAAAGTAGTCTTTCAACATTGGAAATAAGGTCTATAACTTAGTTAGTGGAGAGCGGTCACCGGGGACCGCTTGGGGATATATGGGTGAACCGTATTTGGTTATGGTACTAATGGAGACGTAGCTCATAATTGGTCACTAATTTTATGATTATTTGCTTTAGTTAACACCCAGTTTTAAGCAAGTATGGAAATATAGAAGAGATCAGCTGCTGAATAGCAGTGGGTTTGTTATATCTGATATGATAATGATAATGAAAAAGACAAAAATAATTGAACAATGCAAAAAAACATTTTATTATAACTATCGTGAGACATGCTGAATAAATTAAAAATCACGAGTAACACACGTAAATTTACTGAGTAAGTACCTACTAGTAGAAACCAGTAGAGCTTTTCTCAGCATATTTACGCGAATAAGTAGTAATTTTTAGGTAATGCACTAAATGGTTAAACATACTAATAATCTCCATAAAAAAGCAAATACTCCACTAAAGAACAAAGAAATTAATGAAGATTTTTCGCCACAGACGGACAGGGTCAAGTATAGAGAAAAAATAAAAAACCAGTCATAAGTCCACACTCGCTTCACATCACTTGTCAAATATTGTGTAAGTTGCACTTGGACGCACAAGTGATTGCGATTTAGTAATATATCTTCGGACCGACCTTCGGGATATTGGTAATATTTACCCGTTACTATGAGTATGGAATAATAGTACATTTTTAAGTAGCCGAGTCCTTCATTGGTGTGTGTGAAGTAGTAAAATGATAAAAAATAAAATGTATTCTTTTGTTTTGATTTTTAATATTTTCTCGTAGTTATTTTATTGGATGGAATAGCCGCAATAAGTACTTTCAAGTGCGTTTTATAATAAAAAATGTAATGTCTGGTGCTTTGAAATTGCTCTTGTATTTTAAGTTATGTAACAAGAAAAAATATTGTCATCAATGGGAAATTGTGATCGTGTCATTCATACGTCAAATAATTATATTATTTGCACTATTACGGTTCGTTACATAACTTAATCATGTAATAGAAACACAGGTAAGGAACCTCTAAATAACAGATAATAACGGTAAACACAGTACTTGCGTCATAGATAATCCCACTATTATTTTAGATAGATTTTGTGGAGTGACAATGAAAAGATGTAGTTATTTACCTAATGCAGATAAAATCTAAAGTTAATTTTATTAGAAAAATAATTAATTTTCTTCGTGCATTTATTATTAAATTTTTAACTAATTTTATAGCATTATTAATGTAAGGTACTTATATCTGAAAAGTATTCAGATAATATGTTATATGTAATTAATAATACTACTGAAGGCTATTTTTTCAACGCTTTAGGCTTCAAAAGGTTAGGTAATGTCATTTTTTTCTAAACTTTTTGTTATTTCGTCTTGGCGTCGCCGACGTTATAAATAGCTCGGTCAAAACAAGTTTTTTTCATATTACTTAGGAATAGGTCTTGACATTATTATTGAATATTTATGTAATATTTACATAATAATATATTTTAGTCAAAGATTTTGACAAGCCAATCATTTTTGGCAAGATATAAAATTAAACAATTATAATATTTCACGTATATGCTCAAGCTGTTATTGTACACATGCTACTATTATTAAGAACAATAATTTAAAAATGAACAAAAATATTTACCATTTTCAAAAATCTATCTTCAGAAACATCTCGAACATTCTCTGATCGTGTGAACATGAGTTTTAGTTCGCTAAAGCTCAGCTAGAGGGCGTTACCAGTCGCTTTCACCACAACCGCACATATTTGTGTGAACTTGTAACACTTCCTTCACAGTCAATGTCAGCACAGTTTTGTAATAGAAAACGTAAAGTGATGTGTATTCCATACTACATAAAGTATTGTTTTCATAAAATGCAGAGATTTTTTCTGAATAGCTAATAAATCAGGAATGACCTAAATTAAAAAATTTAATACGTTGAATTTTTGTGAAGAATGGCCTCAAATAACAATTATGTCTTTGTTAAAATAATTTATCTTTATTTTTAAGTTTTTCAAATTTTTTGTTATTTTCTTTAAGGTTTAGTTTTAGTACGATACATTTAGGCGTCAAATTACGAGTCAGGCATTCATGAATTTAAAAGTTTTAAACCTATAATTTGCCTTTACTATACATCTATTAGACCCTTCGATAAATTATAGGCGATAATCAAATTAAATTTACGACCGTATACATTCCATAATTATAATTCAATTTGTAAGATGCAATTGATTGATTCAACACTCGCATGTCAGAGTACGTGCAAAGAAACATTATGTTTAAGTGTTAGCGATTTATCTGCTGATAATAACTTGATTGATAAATCTTTTTGTAAAATTGATTTATGAACATCATTATCAATAATTAGCATTCATTCTCTAGTAACTAGTTCTAGAATATCCGCCCAAAACATTGTTCAAATGATTTATTCACAATTTTCGTTACGATTTCTTACGATTTGCATATAAACAAAATTAATCGTTTCGTTTTCGATTTTAGAACAAGGTTTCTTGTTATGTTTCATTCGTTTTCTATTTTTATCTGTGGGATTTTTTTACAATTATATCTTGTTTTTATTTGTTTTGCTTTCTTTTTATTTAATTTAATTTATACATTATTATTACTAATTATACTTCATCTTTTACTTCTATCTTTTACTAATTATACTTCATTGTATTATTTTTGTAATTGCATTTTTTTATTTACACAACCGTGTAATATACGATGGCGGCCTTATATAATTTTATGAATGTTATAAATAAATGAATTTTATAAATTGTAAAACTTAAAAAAATCTTTTCATTTTTGTTATATAACAAAAATAATAAATTTACATACAAAAACAGTTATATATTTATATAAAAAATACGTGTTTAATGATTATTTAAATCAAAACAATGTTAAACTTTTACACCTACCTACTACTTTGTCTGCACCCTAAGGTTGACTGTTAGAGATTGCCACTAGCCATTGAGTCCACCATTGTATAAATTGTGCAAGAATTTGTAAACAAATAAATACATTAAGGAAGTTTATCGATATTCTTGTATGATTAATATATTTTATAGGCAAATACACAATAATATACAATCCTCAAATTTCTAATCCCCAAAAGGGCGGTAACACACCTCTGGTGTTTCAGGAGTCCATGGGCGACGCGGATTACTTACCATCAAGTAATCCGTCTGCCTGTTTACCGGCTTATCGAAAAAAATAAATAATTGTGTACATAGTAGATCACATTAACTCTTATCCTAGGAAATATCCAATTCTTGCAATTGCTTCAAGCACCCATTAACAATGCTATTATATTATTGGAGTTCTTCCAGTAGACACTATAGTACCTATTATGAATGTAATGAATCTTTTTAACAAGATAATAATCATCCGCAATAGAACAAAGCCTTGTATGTTAATTTATGCGGCTATGTTGCTTAGATAAGACTGATAATGCAGTTATATTCATATGTGATTTGTTTATAATGTAGGTACATTTGTAGTTCAGATATATTATAACAATAAAAATTATCATAAT